CCCCAAAACCCCAAAACCCCAAAACCCCAAAACCCCTTTTAGCATTCTTTATTTTGAAAATTAATTTCTTATCTAGCAGGTTTCTCTTTCCTCTTTGCAAGCCTCTCACAAAGTTCTGCTCTGAAGAGAGTATTTGTTTTGATTTTTTCAAGCTGCTCTAGCGCATGAATACCTCTCTTCTCAAGATCATCGAAGGTTTTTTCTTTGCCGTCCATCTTCTCACTCTTTTTGTCAACTCTGGTCTTGGCTTTTTCATAGAGATTATCGATACTAAAAATAATTTTTCCAATCTCGTTGGTGCCTTGGACTCTCTTTTGTTTCATTTCTTCACTAGAAGATTGAATTTTGGACTTCTGGCTCTCCATAGTCTCTAGGTATTTCTGGAGACCTCCAATTTCATTAGTGATAGTCATTTGTTGGGTCTTTTTCTCTTTAATATAACTAGCCATTTTAGCATTAATGGTCTCTTTCTTCTTATTTAGTTTATTCAGACTTGCCTGAAGTTTTTGGTTAGATTCGTAGAGAGTATTATATCTGTTGACAATGTCTTGGAGTTCATTATATTCATCTGGGTTTTCGTCCTTAACTTTTTGGAGGAAATCCTCGTATTCTCTCATGGCTTCAACCTTGCGTTCGACTCTGTTATATTTATCTTTTAATTTGTTATATTTTTCGTCAAGACTCTTAATTTCCTTACTCTTGACCTTAATCTCATTCTCTTCGATAAGCCTTCTCTCGTTTGCCTTGTCTTTCTTAGTTTCATTTTCCTCCAGATACTTCGAGAATTTGATCAAACTCTCTTGAATTTTGAGATCTTTATCTTTTAACTCATTCTCTCTCCTCTTAAAACTATCCTCCGAAGCCTTAAACGCTTCCTTCTTCTTCTCAAACACCTCCTGCTCTTCATACATATCCTTCCTCATCTCCAACAACCTAGTCGCCGGCGAGATCGAATCTATCTGTATATGCTGCGGAATACGAAGGTTCTTGTCCTGCATTTTATTTTGAAATATTTATATTTTAGGAGAAGATAATGGGGTTTTGGGGTTTTGGGGTTTTGGGGTTTTGGGGTTTTGGGGTTTTGGGG